AAAAGTATTCAAATTACTTAACAATAATAATTTTGCAATAAATATAGAAAAGTGTGAACTTTTTAAAGCATCAATAACATATCATGGATAAATTATAGACGAAAATGGAATATAGTCTTCATTAGATAAGGTAAAAACAATCACTGAGGTAGAGCGACCTAAATCAAAAAAGCAAGTGAAATTATTCGTAGAATCTTCTAATTATTATACATATTATATTAATATCTTTCTAGAATATACTTCTAAAGTAATTCCATTGTTAACTAAGAAGCAAAAATTTGAATAGATTGAAGAACATTCAAAAATTTTAAAATAAATCAAAGAAAAGATGTCAGAAATAACTCACCTATCATTCTTGGAAATAAGAAAACCTTATGTTACTGGTTTATAAAGGGGATTATTAGCCTTATTGAGAATGCAATAACTAGATAAACGGAAAATGAGCAGTTAGACATGTGGATTATAAAAGGAATTATTAGACTATTTTAAAATAAAAATAAATGGAAATATGGAAAATACACAGTTATCCATAAAGACTCTAGATAAGAAATAAAAATTATTAGTTAATTTTTGGTTTTTTTATAAATTAAATAGATAAAAAAAGGAAATATATTTTTTTTTTTTAGAAAAAAGATTTAATGATAAAGTAGAAAATAATGGTAAACAAAAGGTAAGAAATAATTTGTTGACACTAGAAAAATTCTTTTGTAGTAAATTTTTATTTTAAGTTTTTACAAGAAAATTTTACATATATAACAATAAAATTTTCATGCTCGTAATGTTTAGATAATTTAATTTGTATTTCATTAATTATGTTTCTTGATGACAGAAGACTTATGCCAAATATATTCATAACATTATATGTAAATATATATTTAATTATAATCATTATTCAATAAGAATTTAAATTTTTAGTAAAAATAGGGATTTTTATAAAAGTAAATGAACTTCTCTTGATGGTTAATAAAAGGATTTATTAACCTTTTTGGAAAATAAAAGGACTAGTTAAATGAAGAATACGCAGTTGGTCATGTACACACAAAAAAAAAAAAAAAAAATGATCAATTTTTTTGTTTGTACTTTTTTTAAAAAAAAAATACAAAGATCGTCAAGAAAAAAAATTGATAAAAAAAAAATACAAAGACCATCAGGAAAAATCAATTGGAAAAAGATTTGTTACCAATAAATAAAAATAAAAAAAAAAAAAAAAAAAAAGATTTTTTTTTCAGGAAATGAAATAGTTTTTGTGATGAATTTTATAAAAGAAAATTTTATACAAAATAACAATGAAATTTTCATGTAATTAATATTTATATAATTTTTTGTATTTGTCAATAATTGTTTATGTTTGTTAATTCAACAGCAATATATATTAATTGCTGAATGTATCTCATAACAAAGAAACAAGTAATTTACAATTAATTAATAATTAATGTTCAATAAAGATTTAAATTTTTAATAAAAATAAGGATTTTTATTAAAGTAAATAAATGCTTATTGAAATTAAAAAATGCTGAATGAAGTAGATTACACAATTAAGGATCATTCGTTCAAAGTATTTAAAAATATATATAAATACATCAAAACCGCAGAGGAAACTCTACATGCTCTTTATTAATTTGTTTGTTCAGTACTCTAGAATAGTCACCGAACACCCAATTAATATACCATAATATCAACTTAATAATATAAATAAATAAAAATAACAAAAATTATAAAAAATTTTAAATAATTATTAAATTTATAATAATTAAAATTTATAAATATAATTATAAAAATTCATAAAAAAATATGTTTCATCTTTAATATTCCCATAAAAAAATAATCAACCCTTATAAAAATATAATAAAATACTAATAAAAATAAAATAAATTTACTTTTCTCACGGATTTTTTCAGTAAATTATCTATTGTAATTTATCTTGTAAGAGAACAAATATATAAAAAAAAAAAAAAATTTAATAAAATAATAAATTTTATTTTTCTTTATTTTTTTTTATTTTTTTTTTTATAAAGAAAAATCATTCAGTCTCTTAAATTCGATTCATATTTTCAATCATCTTTTTTTTTCGATATAAATATCTTTTTTCTAAAAAATTTTTGTTTGTAAACTATTGTTATTTTAATCTTCTAAAAGGTTTATTAGAAATAATTGTAAAAAAAATAACCAAAAAATAACTTGTGTTTCTTTTTGTTTATAATAAAAAATCCTAAAATAATAAAAAATATTTCCTTAAATAATGTTCGATATATATATATATATTATCAAATAAAAATTAATAAAAAAATAAATAGTTTAATATAATTTTAACGAAAAAAATAAAGTGCATTACCAACTGACATAAACTGATTTTTTTTTTTTTTTTTTAATACATATATTTCTATACAAATAAAACTAAATTATAGTGCACTTATTTATCACTAAAAATTTAAATATTAAAATAAAGAAAATTAAAGTAGTTTGATCAGTGTTTAAAATTTAATAGAGTTCCTGTGAATCCTAACACTGAGTCACAAGAGCATTGGTGATTTTCAGACAAATTCTGAATATTTTTCACCTAAAATTATACTTCCATTAGAATTGAATTGGGAAAGGAATATATGTAAATAGCCTTCTAAAAGAAATGTTTAGAACTTACAATGCTTTAATGAGCTGGCTGTCTCTTAACGTCTTATTTTGAGTTTGACAAAATAGTCTTTCTAAATCTATTAAGAAAAAAGTCCATTTTGCTTGCTAAATCACATATATAGCTAATGAAATCAGTATTTTAGTAATTTTTGAAGTTATGATTCACAGACCTTTTTGGTACTTCTTTTGAAAGGGAAGGGTAAGTCTAACTTGTTCAATAGTCCAAGTACATTTCACATGCACAGTGCACATTCACAAATATGTATTTGCACCAAGTCTTCAGAAGACAGATGAAGGCATAATAAAGGGAAAAAAAAAAGTTATGAGTGTATCTATTTATAAACTGATAGTTCCTGTTTAAGAATCCGAGAAAGTTGTAGGACCTGGTCTCTGTCAGACTTTGCAGTTTCAAAGTTAAAAGTGTTCAAGGAGCAATAATTGGTGATTTATTAACTGGGCGTTCTGTGACTTTACCAGAGTACTGAACAAACAAATTAATAAAGAACACGTAGAGATGGCTCTACAATTTTGTTTTATTTATATATATATCATATTCTTCGAACGATTAATTCTTAATTATGTGCTCTACTTCGTTCAGCATTCTTTTATTTCAATAGGCATTTATTTACTTTAATAAAAATCCGTATTGAATATTGATTATTATTCAATTGTAATTTATTTAATTATTTGTTATGAGTTATGTTCAGTAATTTAAATATATTGCTGTTGAATTAACAAACATAAACAATTAGTAGAAATGCAAATTAATTATATGAATATTAATTATGTGAAAATTTTATTGTCATATGTATAAAATTNTTTTTTATAAAGAAAAATCATTCAGTCTCTTAAATTCGATTCATATTTTCAATCATCTTTTTTTTTCGATATAAATATCTTTTTTCTAAAAAATTTTTGTTTGTAAACTATTGTTATTTTAATCTTCTAAAAGGTTTATTAGAAATAATTGTAAAAAAAATAACCAAAAAATAACTTGTGTTTCTTTTTGTTTATAATAAAAAATCCTAAAATAATAAAAAATATTTCCTTAAATAATGTTCGATATATATATATATATTATCAAATAAAAATTAATAAAAAAATAAATAGTTTAATATAATTTTAACGAAAAAAATAAAGTGCATTACCAACTGACATAAACTGATTTTTTTTTTTTTTTTTTAATACATATATTTCTATACAAATAAAACTAAATTATAGTGCACTTATTTATCACTAAAAATTTAAATATTAAAATAAAGAAAATTAAAGTAGTTTGATCAGTGTTTAAAATTTAATAATTTAAAAACAAATAATGTAGCTTTTCATAATTGTAAATATTTCTTCTATTAAACATAATATAATTTATTTATTAAAATATATATAAATAGCTAAAATAGTATATTATAGTTGCTGATTTTAGAATTTACATATATATATTTTATTTCTTTTTTCTTTTACTTATTTTATATTATATGAAAGTATCAATTAGATCCTTTAAAAACATAATTATAAATTATTATGTACATTATTTTATTTATATATAAATTCCATATACTACTTATAAAATTTTACTTCTTCATCTATTCAAATTTCATTTTCAAAAAAATTTTCTATAAAAATATTATATAATAATTAAATTTTTTATTCAAAATATCAAAGTTAAATAATTGTATCATTATTTCAAACTTATATTCATATTCATATTATTACATAAAAAATTTTAAAATATACAGAAAAAATCCTTAACATTGTTTCTTTTTTTCATATAAATTTCATAGTATAATACAATGCTTTACTTTAACTGTTTTTTCTTTTTTTTTTTCTTAATGTTAATTTTATAAATTAAGTTTTTATTTTATTTATCACAATTTTTCATCTTTTTTAAAAATTAATTAAATCATTATTACATGAATATTACAATAATTTAATATTTTATATAAATAGCAAAAAAAAATTTCTTTTCCTCCGAATTGTTATTTTATATTACATAAAATGACATTTTCACACATAAACAAATTTATGATATAGTTATTACATAAGTACAAGTGTCGTCATTTCTACATAGAAATTATAACAATTTCCTGATGCGATTTAAGTATTCAGTGGTACTGCAAAATAACAAAAATAGTAGTATTCAATTTTTTAGTCAAATTATATTATTTTTCTTTAATTTGATTATTGAATACATTTTTAATGTATGATTAAAATTAAAATGTAAAATAAATGTATTTTATATATATTACCTTTTTCTCTTCCTCAAATTTTTGCTTTTATATATTATTGATATAAAAATTTATTTTTTTTAATAAGTCAATTTTTAAACGTTATTACAGAATATTTTAAGAAAACCTAGTTGTGAAATAATAATCATGAGAAAAAACTGTACCTCAAAAAATGCAAGATTATTATCAGAATTGGAAGAAATTCCCTGCATGTCAAACAAAAAAAATGCAACAGAAAACAATTCTAATTTATCTAATAATACAATTTGTCTCAATACAGAAATTCAAACATTTATGAATGATACTTATAATGAACTCGGATTTTATCTTCAAGACAATAAAATTACTAATGACACAGAAAAATGCCAAAAGGTAACTACATACATAAATTGGAGAGGGATGGACTATGTTAATTTGCTGTTAAGTGAAAATGGAAATTATAATATTTCATATCTTGTTGAAAATTGGAATAAAAAACAAAAATCTTTTGATAAAAGTATAGTTGAAAAAATAAATTCAACGTGTAATACAACAACGTTTGATTATTGTGCTATTTTGAATAAAAATAATAACTGCACTAGCCCTTATAAAGATACTGATCTACCAGTAACCACATTATTAACATACGAACAACTCAATGAAGATAGTTATAGTACTAATAAAATTCAAATTATTGAGCAAAGACGGCTTAAGTTTGACAATGTTACCTATGATATATCTAATTACTATTTCAATGCATATGATAAAGATAGTTCTGAACTTAATTGTGCAAAGTGGAGTATGTATATATATAAGAGAGGGAAGCTATTTATTAATATGATTAACAATGAAATTTATTCCGAAGAAGTTTATAGAAATTATTCTATTAATATATGGAATACATTCAGTAGGGATATGCAAAGTTATACATTAGAACAGACAGGTAATGAATGTAATATGACAGTATTTCTTCATAAAATTAAAGAGAGAGAAAATTCAATTAATCCATATGATTTAGGATGGGTTCATTCAAATAACAATAATATTATATCTAATCAAACCTCAGGTGTTGCAACTGCATTACTAGATAACTTGCATTCTACAAATGGAATTCCCAATGTTACATATAATGTTGCATCAACGAATTCAATAGATAATAATACAGGCATATTTAGAATTATAAATAATAATACAACTAAAAATGCAAATATAATTACTACCTTAGGAACAGTAACAACAGGAGATCAAACTACACTAGAAACTATGACCACAACTTCTTCAGAAGTTAAAACACAATCTAATATTTTAAACCCAGATTCTGCAACTCAACATGACTTACATACAACTATATCTTCACCTTCAGATACTCCTATAAGTAGTACTGGGTCTTTTGGAAGTGAAAATACACAATCTTCAGCAAATAGAACTAATCCTACAGTTAGTACTGAGCCTACCACAGATAGTACAGCTTTTTTTGCAACTGAACATGGACCTTCACCTACTACGAATATCATTGAATCTAATGAAAATAGTACTACATTACATTCTGTAAATAAATCTTTATCTAATACAGATAGCTATACCAGTTCTCCTACAATTATAGATTCATCATCTACAAATGATTCTACATCTCCAAATAATACCATTGTACATAATACTACTACAATTAAACCTTTTACAACTAATGATACATCACATACAACTATACCTTCCCCTTCTCCACATCCTGCACCTTTAATTGCAAGCACATCTTCTATAGATACTAAATCATCTATTTCAAGTAGCTCTGAAACTCCCACTATTAAACCTATTTCTATAACTGGAACTGCAGTTTCTCTAAGTAATAATACATCTTCAAGTAATATCACTACAAATCCAACTGCTATGAAGCAACTCTTTACAAACGATACTACATCTTCTACAAGTAACATTACATCTCCTATGACTGTACCCTCACCTTCTTCTGAGACTACCTCCCTCCTATCAACTACGTCTACCACAGTTATCAATTCATCTTTTTCAAATGCCTCTGCACAGTCTGTAACTGAACCTTCTATAACTAGCATTACACCTACAAATAATTCTACATCTTCAAATAACGCCACTTCATATTCTACTACCATCATTGAACCTTTTAAAAACAGTACTACAACACCTATAACTAATATTACATCTCCTATAATTGTACCTTCACCATCTTCTGAGATTTCATCTTCACCTAATATCACATCTTCTACAACTACAAATTCATTTTTTCCAAGTAGTTTAGAAACTCCAACACCATCTACTCATATAACTAAAATTTCATCTTCGGCAAATAATTTCATATCTTCTTCAATGTCTAACAATATATCTACTAAAATCTCATCTACATCTTTAGAATCTTCAAATTTCAACACAATTAATAATGTAACTAAATCTCCTACAGGAAATAATAATACATCATTATTGGTAACAAGAAATCCCATAGCACAATACTCGCAAAATACACCTGCCCCTATGATACAGAATAAGGAAACTTTACCTTTAAATATAAATCATAATAGTACATTAAGAAATAATGTATATACAAATCCTACGAATATGACTATTTCAAATAATTTTACCTCACAAACCCCATTCACCAATAATACTGAAGTTACACCTACAGTTAATCCTACAGGAAATGTATTAATAACAATCGTTCCAGCAGGTATATTCATTTTGGGAATTATTTTTTTTTTAATTCTTCTCTGTAAAGTAAGATAAAATTAATAATTAAAAATGCAAAAACATATATATTTAAAATCTTTATAACTTAAATAAGAAATTTTTTATAATTGCATAATTTTTAATTGGAATTATAGTACACTTTTATTGGATCTTGGTTTCGCAATCGTAAATCAAAGAAAAAAAAAGTAAGAAAAAAGATGAAGAAAATTTCAAAGGAACCGTTATTAATGTCTTTGAATGATATAGATAGTGAAACGATAAATTGTGGTAAATATTCGTTATTGCACAACGAAAAACAAATTCCATTGTGTGAAATTAGTTTTGAAAGTGAAAGAAATTTAAAACATAGGCAGATGAATAAATCAAGGGAATGTAAAGAAATATACATGGAAAGTGGTGATAAACGCGTATATGAAGTTGTAGAAGATGTATCGAAGCACAAAAATGAATCTTCAATAGAAGAAAAAAAATTAAAGAAGGATGATACTAAAAATGAAATTGAAGAAGATGAATTGAATAAGAACAGATCTAGAGGTAAAATTAGAAAAGAAAAATTGATTAAGACTGGATTAAAAAAAAACGAGATTAGCGTTGTGGGGTATATCAGGAAAAATACATTAAAAGAGGAAGGAACAAGTGAAATAAATGTAAAAACTAAAAAATCTACATATGAAAAGGAAATTAAAAATTCAGACAATCAAATGTCAATCATGGGTGAAGTGCGCGATTGTAATACATTGGCGGATACACATGTTATAGCATTACTAGAGTGTAAAAAAGAAGAATGGGAATTGATCAAAAATGAATTTTTAAAAATTTGCATAGAAGTTTTTGAAATAGACGAAAAAACTATATATTTAAAAGAGTATGGTATTAATTTATTAAAGAAAGGAGAAGAGGAAAATAGTACAGTAGTGACAGAAAAAAATAGTAGTATTCCAGAGAAATGGAAAAAAGAAGAATGGTTTATTAATTTGAAAGAAGAATGGAAGAAGGAAGAAGAAAAACATTTAGAATATTTAAAAGAACAAGAAATTGAGAAAATAACAGTAGAAGGAATAAGAAATATAGTGTTAGACAAAAAAAAAGAAGCATGGAAGAAGTGGATAGAAAAGCAAAGAGAGCGTTCGAATGAGTATAAAAAGCAGGATTGGTTTAAAAAGATATTAGATGAATATGAAAAAGAAGGAATCCATAAAAATATAATGGAAGAAAAAATTGAAAAAATAAGTGTAGAAAAACAAGAGAAAGAAAAAAATAATGAAATAGATAAATATGAAATGAAGAAAAATTTAACAAAAAAAATGTTAATAGATATATATATGATGATATTAGAGGAATGTAAAAAGGAAGAACTGGAAAGAGAAAAAGATGAATTGTTTAAAACGAACACAGAAGAATTAGGAATAGAAGGAAATTTAGAAGAGTTAGTAAATATATTGAAAAAAATAGAGGAAGAAAGAATTTGGAATTCTATATTAGAAAAAAAAAAAGAGTATATAGAAAAATGGAAAAGAGAAAAATGGTTTGTAGAGCTAATGCTAGAATGGAAAGATAACGAACAGAAATGTATAGAAGAATTAAAAAATAAAAAGTTGGAAAAGAAAAATAAAGAAAGAATAACAAATATTTCTTTAGAAAAGCAAAAGATTATATTGAAAAAACATTGGGAAGACATTCGTAGAAAGTGGATAGAAAATGATAATAAAGAAGAATGGTTTACAAAATTGGTTGATGAAACTGAAAGTAAAGAGAAAGAATATGAAGATGAAATTAGTAAAAAGAATATTCAAAAAATAAGAGAAAATGAACAAAATAGGGAAAGTGGTGAATCAATAACAGTGATTAATAGAAAAGTAAAAGAAAAAGCGAAAAAATATGAAAAGGCTCATCTAGAAGATACAGATAAAAAGATTAATTCAATAATAAACAAAAAAAAAATAAAGTGGAAAACTATAGTAGAAATACATATGATTGTATTAGAGGAATGTAAAAAAGAGGAGTGGTTGCTGAATAGAGGAAAATTTTTAGAAACCTGTTTAGAAGAATTTAAAAAAGAAGAAAAAGAAAAGTATCCAAAAATAATAGAAAATGATTTAGTAATAATGAGTAAAGAGGAAGATGACATTAGTACAATAATGATTGAGAGGCAAAAGCTTCTATGGGAAAAATGGGTAGAAAGAAATAAAAGTATGTTAAAAAAATGGAAAAGGGAAGAATGGTTTATTAATTTGAAAGAAAAATGGGAAAATGAGCAAAAAAGTTACAGAGAAACGATAAAGGAATCAGAAATAACAGATATTAATGCAGGAGAAAATCTTATGTTAGAGAAGCAAAAAAAAATATGGAGAGAATGGCTAAAAAAACAAAGGATGTGGTTTATAGAACATAGTGAGGAGAAATGGTTTAATGATTTATTAATAGAATATGAAAAAGAAGGATGTAAGGAAGAAATAACTAAAAGAAATATGAGAAATGTTAAGGAAATTCATGAAAATATGGAGTTAGAACAAGATGGAAACAATGAAATGAGGAAATCTAAAAAAAAAAAAAAGTTGATACAAAAAGTGTTGATAGAAATACATATGATGGTATTAGAGGAATGTAAAAAAGAAGAATTGGAAAGAGAAAAAGAAGGTTTTTTCAATATAATTATGAAAGAATTGAAAATACAAGAAAATTTGGATGAAGTAAATATATTAAAAAAAATAGAGGAAGAAAGAAGTTGGAATTCTATATTAGAAAAAAAAAAAGAGGATATAGAAAAATGGAAAAGAGAAAAATGGTTTGTAGAGTTAATGCTAGAATGGAAAGATAACGAACATAAATATATAGAAGAATTAAACAATAAAAAGTTGGAAAAGAAAAATAAAGAAAGGATAACAAATATTTCTTCAGAAAAGCAAAAGATAATATTGAAAAAACATTGGGAAGATATTCGTAAAAAGTGGATAGCAAATGATAACAAAGTAGAATGGTTTACAAAATTGGCTGATGAAGTTGAAAGTAAAGAGAATGAATATACAAGTGAAATTATTAAAAAGAGTATAGAAAAGAAAGAGGAAAATGGAGAAAGATTTGAGCCAATAGTAGAGATTAATAGAAAATGGAATGAAAAAGTGAAAAAATATGAAAAGACTCATCTAGAAGATACAGATGAAAAGCTTAATTCAATAATAAACAAAAAAAAAATAAAGTGGAAAACTATAGTAGAAATACATATGATTGTATTAGAGGAATGTAAAAAAGAGGAGTGGTTGCTGAATAGAGGAAAATTTTTAGAAACCTGTTTAGAAGAATTTAAAAAAGAAGAAAAAGGAAAATATCCAAAAATAATAGAAAATGATTTAGCATTAATGGGAGAAGAAGAAAACATTAGTACAATAATGTTAGAGAAACAAAAACTTCTTTGGAAAAAATGGATAGAAAGAAATAAAAGTATGTTAAAGAAATGGAAAAAAGAAGAATGGTTTATTAATTTGAAAAAAAAATGGGAAAATGAACAAAAAAGTTACAGAGAAACGATAAAGGGATCAGAATTAATAGATATTAATACAGGAGAAAATCTTATGTTAGAAAAACAAAAAAAAATATGGAGAGAATGGCTAAAAAAACAAAGGATGTGGTTTATAGAACATAGTGAGGAAAAATGGTTTAATGATTTATTAACAGAATATGAAAAAGAAGAATGTAAGGAAGGAATAACTAAAAGAAATACAAGAAAAGCGAAGGATATTCATGAAAACATGAAGGAGTTAGAACAAGATGGAAACAATAAAATGAGGAAATCTAATAAAAAGAAAAAGTTGATACAAAAAATGTTAATAGAAATACATATGATGGTATTAGATGAATGTAAAAAAGTGGAATGGGAAAGAGAAAAGGATGAATTTTTTAAAACAATTAAGAAAGAGTTAAGAATACAAGAAATTTTTGATAAAGAAGCAAATATATTTTAAAAAATAGAGGAAGAAGGAAGTTGAAATTCAGTACCAAAGAAAAAAAAAGAGGAAATAGAAGAATGGAAAAGAAAAAATTGATTTGCATAGTTAGCGTTAAAAATTAAAAATAATGAAAAGAAATACATGAGGGAAATAATTGAAGAAGTGTTAGTAAAAAAGAACGAAAATGTAGTAAAAAACCTAGTGTTAGAAAAGGGAAAATTATATGTAAAAATCATTGGGGAAATATTTGTAGAAAGTAGGCAGAAAACAATAATAAAAATTTGTATATAAAGCATAAGAAAAAAAAATAGAAATTAAGAGACTGAAAAAATACATGAAGCATTATAAGAAATTCTAGAAATGATCAATAAATTTTATTATTCATCTTCTTGATTATTTATTAATAAATAAAGTTAAGTATTTCTAGATGTTTAGTTACTGATTTATCAATTGCACGTTCAATGATTTCATTAGAATATTTACTTGTTAATTTCTTGTTCAATAACCTTTCTTGTATTTAAAGAACAAATTAATAAAAAATATGTAGAAATTAACCATATTATTTTATTAATAATAAAATAAATTATTACATAGTTCATTTATTCACATTAATATTAATTTTTATCTCTTTTATTTATTATTTAATTTAATTTATGTCATATAAATGTAATATTTAACATTATGTTTTTTAATCTTTAGTGTTAAAAAGAATAGTATACATCGCATTATGAAAAGAAAAAATTATTTTCTTTCATTAAGAAGAAGCTTTATTTTTTCTATTAAAAAGTAAAACTATCATCATTTTTTTTTTTATTAAAATTTCCTTAGTTTTTAAGATTATAAAACCCAAATAAAATAAAATATTATTTTTTATGATTTTAAATACACAAAAAAAAAAATAAAAATAATATGTCTGTTTTTCTTTTAGCATGATGGTTTTTTAATATTCCATTCAATGATGTTGTGATATATTAATTATCTATTTAAAGTAATTTATAGGGTTTTAAATTGTCAAATTAATAGAGCATGACAAGTTATCTGTACTTATTCATTTTATAGTAATAGTAGTTTATGTTAGTTATTATATACTTATTACATATATATCAATTTATAACAAATTTAACGTATTGATTTGTTAACTTCCTATTCGGTGATTTTGCTATAGCACTAAATAAACATATTAATAAGGAGCATGTAAAGTTATCTCTACAAATATAATGAATTTATGTATAATTTTAAATGCTATAAAATAAATGTACTTATATAATATACTTTGCTGAGCATTCTTTATTTTCAATAGACATTTGTTTACTTTAGTAAAAATTCCTACTTATGAATCTAAATCCTCATGAAATATACATTTTAATTAAATATATTTTAACTTGTAATGTTGTGAATAATTTTAAGCAACGCAAGTCTTCTGATTCCAAGTTATTAAACATAAATAATTAATGAGATCCAATTAAATTATATAGATGCTACAAACATAAATATTTTATTACTATGTATGTAAAATTTATCCATAAAAAAGAAGCTAAAAATAAAAGTTCATTGCAAAAAAACTCTCTCAAAAACAATTTTTTTTTTATCTTCTTCGAACATAATTTTTCCCCAAGCATAAAATTTTTTTTTTTTGTTTAACTAGTGTTTTCATGTCTAGCTATATATTTTCCAAACAGTTAGATATTTTAATTCTCAAAAAAGATTAATAATTCCCTTTTTTAACCACATATATATTATTGAATATACAGTTTTTAACTTACTTTTTTATAGTTTTCACACAGAACTATTAAAAATTGTTACGTTTATCCATCTCCCAAAAAGAAATTACAAAAAAAACATTATTTCTTCTTTAAAAATGAAAATAGATATATAATATTTTTTTATGAATTTTTTACTAATATCTTGATTTATTGATTTAATATTCAGTGACTTTGATAGAATATTGAAGAAAATAATTAATAAAGAACATGTAGTGCTCTACTAATTTAATGAGTTTATGTATGATTTTAATACTATAAACCAGTAATTTGTTTTATATATATAGACTATTTCATTGAGAATTTGTTGTTTTTAAGAGGCATTTATTTACCTTAATAAAAGTCTTTTATTTTCATTAAAAATTTAAATCATTAATTATAGATATTAATTATATATGTTTTATTTATAATATCACGAATAGTATTTAGAAATTCATATATATTCCTCTTAAATTAAAAAACATATATAATTAACAAAACACAGAATATATTATATGAATATTACAAAACATGAAAATTTTATTATCATAAATATGAAATTTTATTATATAAATTTAAACAAAGTATACTACAATAAATCTTTTTGTCAACAATCCTTATTTTTTGAACATAAATCATTTTATTATAAAAATAAAAAGGCATTTTCTTATTTATATTTTAAATTTATAAAAATAAGAGAAAAAAATTAGTTAATCTTTTTTTTTATTTAACGCTTGTCTGAATAACTATTTATTTTTCATACAACTATTACTTTTTACTCTGGACAATGTTAATACCTTTTGTTAACCAAGTGTCTAAAAAAACATATGTTTTCCTTCCTTTTATTTAAACTATCTATTTTTCATTTATGTAAAACCTTTTATTATTCTCATCCCATTGTAATGTATTAAAAGATGATTCTCTTTTTTTTATTTCTTCTATATGTTCTTCTTGCCATGTTGTTTTATATAACCATCCATCTTTAAATACATTATTAATTCTATTTCTTTTTGCTTATCAATGCATTACTGTTTTCTGTATTGTACTTTTATATTAATTCTATCTTTTTCAAATCGACTTTATTTTTAATTAAATGATCTATAAATAATACTACACACCTCTTTTGTATAATATTTAGATGAATATATATGATAAAAACATTTTATTTGTGCATAATGAATTACGGAGATAATGTGCAATAGTAAATTCATACACTAAAATAGTTATTCAAAAAAAACATGTACACTTAAAAAAGAAATACACTTGCACTAAAAATTAATATATCAAAAATAAATAAATAAATATATAATAATTATTTTTTTTTTTTTTTTGTTCATTTGTGTATTTACAATTAAAAGAAAAAAAAAAATATCAAATATATTTTTTTTTTTTTTGGCTTATCATGCCGACTTAAAAATTATAATCAAAAAATAGGAAGATGACTTTATTTTTTTGCATTCTTTTTCCTTAAAAAAAAAAAAAAAATTTTTTTCTCAGGGCGGAATATTTATTAATTTCATGTTCAATGTATTCATTAGTATCAGATAAACAAATTAATAAAGGGCATGTAGTGTAAAATCTACTCAATTTATTTTTAATTTAATTAAATTTTATATCAAAATTTTTATTTTTATTAATCAACACCATATACTATTTATTAATTAAATGTTTTTTTTAGGTTAATTTACGCAAACTTCATAAATGTAATTTTTTTAACATTACTTTTTAATTTAATATAAAAATATACACTCCATACTAATCCATGCACAATCCGAAAAAAAATTAACTTTTTTTTTTACAATAATAAAAAAAAAAAATGAAAAAATGAAAAAATGAAAAATAATACTACCATAATATTTTTTTTTGTGTCAAAATCATATGCAGAAAGAAAAATATTTATATAATTCTCTTTTTTTTTTAGTACACTAATTTATAAAAAGAATTTTGTCCTTTGTGATATTAAAAAATAACAACTGATAGAAAATAAATAGTCAGACATGCAAGTTCTAGAAAAAAAAAATTGTTAGTTTTTTATATTTTCTTTTAGTAAATTTTAAAAGACATAAGAAAAAACAGACTTATTTTTTTTTTTTAAATGATTTAATTGTCGAAAAATTAAAAAGAATGGTTTTTTATTAATAGATTTCTCGTAGTATATTTTGTCTTAAATTCATGTTATAAAATTTTATATTAAAAATAATAAAATTTTTTTATTTTGTAGTATTAATATATTTTATTTTGCACTTTGTTAACTATTTTTATTTATTAATTTAAGAGCAATATATTTAAATTGCTTAACAATACTTATAGCTTTATATATATAATATATGTGATTAAAATCGATAATAAATGAGGATTTAAATTTTTAATAAAAAAATAAAGTTTTTATTAAATTAAATAATTTCTTCAGAAAAGCAATAAATTCTCAATTAAGAAGATTATATAAGCACACTTTGTGGGTTTAAAGAACTAAAATTATACTTAAATTTATTAAACTAGTAGTGAAAACTCTATATGTTCTTTTATTAATCTGTTTCCACAGTACTCTAACAAAGTCTTCGAATGGACAATTAATATATCATGTGTCCTAAAAGCGCTCTTACAGATTGTGGTTCTATTTATATGAGTGTTTTATTAACTGGATGTTCGGTGACTTTATTAAAGTACTGAACAAACAAATTAATAAAGAGCATGTCGAGTTGTCTCTACGATTTTGATGTATTTATATATACTTTTATATGCTTTGAACGAGTGATTCTTAATTATGTGCTCTACTTCGTTCTGCATTCTTTGATTTCAATAGGAATTTATTTACTTTAATAAAAATCCTTATATTTATTGAAAATTTAAATACTTATTGAATATTGATTATTATTTAATTGTAATTTATTTATTTCTTTGTTAATAGTTATGTTCAGCAATTTAAATATATTGCCGTTGAATTAACAAACATAAACCATTAGTAAAAATGCAAATTAATTATATAAATATTAATTACGTGAAAATTTTATTGTCATATGTATAAAATTTTTTCTCACAAATTAAAAATATAAATATTATGCAAATTGAACTCTTTTATATGTAAATATTTTTATCTGTTAAGATCTCATTTTTATTGATACTAAATCGTACTCTCTATTTTTATTTTACCAATTTTTCTCTCACCAATTAAATCATTTTAAAAAAAATAAATATATTTTTTTTTTTACGTATCTCAATTTATTAAAAGAAAAATAAAAAAAATCCATAATTTTTTTTTTTTTTTTTTTCCTCGTG